ACACACACACATACCCACATTTCATGTACTATATATACACATTATAAATATATATTATAAACATTTTATTGAAATATCTTATATAATACAATATATTCATTCACATATACTTCTGTTGTTGGATCCCATCAAGTGGAGTTATACAGTCATCAATGCTATCAGCTCCCACTTCCCCCTCCACCCCCTTTTCTGTATCCTCAGGGAACTCTTACTCCTGTTACTGTCTCTGAGGAATTACCTATCTTGACTTTTGTGTACTGAACAATCTTAAGTATTCAAATAAACATATGCAAACCTAACAATTAATGATGTAAAATAAATAGTGAGGGATGAAATATTAAAGAATGAGCGGTTATTTATGTGATTTCTCAGTGCCATACCAACCCTGGATTTTTTGTTTGCTCCATGCGGCCATTCTGTGAAGACAGCCCAATTACCTTGCACATGGATTTTGGGTCTCCACTGCATACATGCCCCTTCACATCGAGTTGGTTGTATGTTTTTGAACTTCTGATGCCTCTTCACATCAACACCTCATGAACACTGGTTTTCTTCTTCCATTTGAGCTTCATTACTGCCCTGCTAGATGGTCGCTTGTTTAATTACAAGCCTTTAAGACCTCAGATATTATATATTTTGATAGCCCAGCACCATCTGCTTTCTTCACATATATTAATTCAATGAATTATCACCAACATTTATGAGTACGAGAACTATCAATTGACTCATTTTGTAAGCACAAGGAAGTAAGTCAGCTTGCCAATTCACCTAAACCAAAGACAAAATCACTGCCAGGAGTCAATGCTGACTCACAGTGACCATCTAGGGGTTTCCAAGACCGTAACTGTTTAAAGGAGTAGAAAGCCCAGCCTTTCTCCTGAGGAGCTGATGGTGGTTCTCAACCATGAGGATCTCAGCCCAACTTGTAACCACTGCACCCCCTGGCTTCCCTGCCAATTCACCTGGCTGGTAGGAAAACGAGCCCATTTCAGAAGTAAGGCCATCCAAAGGCAGGTGGAGGATTGTACTTCTCCAATAGAAAGAGTTGGAAACCGAAAAGAGTAAAGACAGAGAAACTAGAAAACCGTATGGGGCACATGAGCACGTACAATGCAGATGGAAGACCTGCTCATTAAACGATCTTTGTGCAATCTGAAAATTCTATAGCAAGATGTAATGCTGACTAATATAGTGTAGTGACTCAAGAAATCAAGCATCATACAGTGAGCAATGTGAGAGGCGGTGCAATGACAGTTTGCCAAGAAGAACTACAGAAGGAGTTAAAACAAATACAGAAATGGATTATAAAATGCACAGTTATTTTATCAAGATAAATGTTTGCTTTACAGGATTGAAAGGCAAAGACGTTTTATAAGTAGTTTGAT